TATATTTTAGAAAAAGATGAATTTTCATTAAAAGAAACTATGAATTCGATTTTTGTAGAAAACATATCTGAATATATTGAATTTTTCATAAAATATTATGAAAATAAAATAATCTGTTGGATATATGAGTAAGTTTATGTGTTATTATAAGGGATTAATCAAGATGTTAAAGTTTAATTAAATATTCAATTTTTCAATATAAATATATTTTACTTTGCAAAAATTTTTATTTTTAATTTTATTTAAAAAAATTGATATTCAAGAACGTCTCGATATCTCAAGAGTTCAATTAGAAGACCACTAATATAATAGTAGTAATTTAATGCTTGTCTATCGATATTACTTCATTAAAATGTTTTTTTTTTCTATGAAGTTCAAAACTTATCAAAGTCATTGACACATCTTCAATTTTAGTTTTTAAATTTCGATTTGAAACTTTACATAGAGATAGATGTTAACGAAAATAATTTATTGTAAATATTTTTCATTTCGCCGATAAGAATATATCTAAAAAACAATTTGTAAACAACCATGTCCTGAAAATCACCGCGATTTTCGCGATTTTCTAAAAAATTGGCGTAAAATCGTGATTTATCGTATTTCTTCAAAAGATCGACGATTATATCAGATTTTATCGCGATTATGGGAGAAGAGCTGATTTTCAAAAATCATTGATAAATCATGACGATTATTCATTCACCGTTTTGTTATGAACATACACGGATATATAAACAACGCCGTTCAATGCATAACAAATAAGTTTTCGAAATATACTTTTTTGATAAATTATTTCTTGGTTATTTTTAATCAAGGAAATGCCAATCCCGATCCATGATCTGGAGAGGACTACACTGAAGCGGTCTGATAAGAATCGGACCAGCTCGAGATCGCACGATCTGATCGGCTTGGACCTTGAGAACAAAAAAAATTGAATTAAATTCAAGAAAAAATCCAAATATGTGTCTTCAAAAGAACCGATAAAATAGTAGAAAATATCAGTAAACAGACGGTTAAATCTTGCATAAAATCACGATTTATCGTAAAAATCGCTGAAATAATCGGGAATAATCGGCGATTCTATCGCGATTCAGCTCACGATTATCGATTCGATGAATCGGGATTAATCGGCAATTTTTAGCCGATTCAACGGACATGGGCATACAATTAGTAAAGCAATCGAACTTTTTTCTACATATTTAATTCAGTTAAATATTTATTAATTGATTCTATAATTTTACTTCAATAGGAATTAATGAGAAAGATGCAAAATGAAAATGAACAAATGCAACAAAAATTATCTGGTATCAAAAAAAAAAACAGTAATTTTATTTATTATTAATCAAATTTCTATATAGAATCAATGCGTCGTTCAACAATTGATTCATTAGTACAAGAAAATCCAACTAATTATACATATTCTAATTCTCAAATACAAACAAATGTTTTAAGGTTTGTCGGAACAAAATTATTTTATTATTTGAGCTTTGTTTTTTCGTTTCTAGATGTGCACATTGTTTTGCACCTAAATCAAATGATTTATATACACGATTTTGTACGGAATGTGGTCTATCTTGACAAAAACTAACTCATAATCCACCGGATAATTATTCAGTAATTCAAAATAATTCTATCGGATATGATGACTACCCTTCATTTGAAAAAAAGAAACTATCTAATCCCATTCTGTTGAACAACTCATAGTTATTTACGAAATTATTTTTTCATAAAAGTCATTATACCAGCTAAGATATATAAGAGCAATGATGAGTAATATGATCTCAAAAATAACCTATATCTGACATATATATATGAGTCTTTCGAAAACAGTAAAAAAACGTTTTTCTCTTTCAGAATCTTGAGAAAGCTATTATTTCTTATAAGAAACCCGAACATATGTTGAATGTGATAGAACTACATATCCGAATCACATTCGATGTTCTGAAGCCTAAAAACAAAAAGAAAAGTCATATATTTTTCTATTCTCAGGAATCGCACTTATAGAACAAGGAAAAAGTTGCATAGTTGATTGCATTTGTCCTCGACAGTCATATCTTACAACAGCCATCATTGCTATAACACCTGTTAACTAGTAACCCTTCCCCTAGAATAAAAGTGCATGCCCTTATACAGTGTCTTGGCACATCGCTATTTTTTGGATGGCCTTCTATTGGGGGTCAATTTTTGGTCAGTTTTTAATTAAAATCATTTAAAAAATGAATAATTAATTAATAACTTTAATTATTGTTTTTTGCTGAAAAAACTACCGTTTTTTGTAAAAACTGTACTAATTATGATAGGAAAGGAAGGATTTCGCAAAAAAAACATTAGAAAATCGGTTATATTTCCTTAATTATTGATTAATATATATAAAAATTTCGATAATTTTGCAATATATTAATTAATTAGTACATGGCCTTCTAATATAGGGTGGCCGTCTATATTGGGGGGGGGGG